AAAAATCATACGCAAACATCTAAAGGAAAACGTTACTGTAATGTATGAATTAATCTTTATAATATTTATATAATTAAAAATTTTTCAAAATAATTTTAGTGTAAACTTACTTTATTAATCATCTGTATCAGAAGATAGTTGCTCAAAGTAATCATTTATATCGCTTTCGTCACTACTTGTGTTCGACTGAATAATCAGTTTTTTCAAAATAATTTTAGTGTAAACTTACTTTATTAATCATCTGTATCAGAAGATAGTTGCTTAAAGTAATCATTTATATTGCTTTCGTCATTACTTGTGTTCGACTGGATAATCAGTTTTTCTACAACAGTTTTCGAAATCTCATCAAGTTCCCACATTCATTGTTCTTTTTCTATATTTTTGATACATTTTGAAATAATGATAGTTATTGTAATGAATGGAAAACAAAACCAAGACATTATAATGTGCATGACTGGAAAAAGTTTATTTTTAGTGATTCAGAGTGTGCAAATATTCATTAAAATAACAATTTAACAAATATGAAATAATTACGTTTATAATAATTGCTAAGTCACTAGTATTTCATTAATGATTTTATAAATAATGAAGAACTATTTTCTGCAGACGAATGAGATGCAACGTGGTTTCTAATTGATGGACATGGGTTTAAACCATTAAACAAAGGGAGGTGTGTCTTAGTTTGTTTACAGTAGGTGCCAAGTTACGATAAATAGACTATAGGTTCAATTGCAATTTACATGAGAGTTTCTGAAACTAGCTCCAGTCATAAGAAACAAGATGGCTATGGAACACATGTCGGGCTATCAGCAGAGAAATAAAAAATATTTGGAGAGATGATGAGATCTGGCTATTATTAGATATATGGCAAGAAAAGTATTTATTTTTTTATTTTTATTTTTTGTTTGTTTGTGACTTATCATGTAATTTTGTCAGTTTTGTCATCACGTGCAATAGCCAGGTTCTTCTCAAACTAACTGCCTGTGCGAACAGCTTGGCGTTCGGCTGGTGATAGTTGCAATCTAGATTGTGTGTAAATTGAGATTAAACTGAGTCGTGAATTGTGTGCGAATGCAGTATAACACTACAAAGAAGTGTTATAAAGACAACATGTATTTATTGTGATGACATCAAGAAGAGGGATGTCAGAATGGTGTTGATAAATGCTAACGCAGAGGGGAGGTCATCCGAGTGTTCGTGCATACAAAATAATTCATTTATTTTGGGATTTTCTGTTGTTAATTGACATTTATTGTACATATGATTGTGCAAATGGGGAAGGGGAAACAGTGAAGATGACAAATTGTATACAGAAGGGGGTGGGAGTAAAAAATGAAGCAGAATCTGTCATTGCAGTATGTGCACACCACCAAAGAGACTGAGTTCTAACTGCCTGGGTGAAATATTCAAGACTAAATCTATCAAGACTTTATCCACACTTCTTGAAATATTGTATTTCAGTTGATATAATTTCAATTTTTATTTAATTTTTAATTCCTTTTATTTTAATTTTTGTTTTAGTTTGTGTGTAAAGACCAGTTTTAATTATTAGTTTTAGCTTAATTAACTGGCTATCTAATATTAATAAATATTAATACAGTGGGTGATTGGTTAACGAACATAATCCGTTCCAAGACTTTGTTCACTATCCGAATTGTTCGTTAACCGATTATTGATTTACCATAAGTTTTAATGGGAATTTAATTAATTCGTTCTGGAGACCCCCAAAAATAAAAAAATATATATAAATACTTTCTTACTACATTTATTTATATGCAATAATAAAAATACATACATACACAGTCTTGCATTTTTATTAGTCATGTTTTTTCCGTTTGAAAGGGTTAAAAAATCTGTCTAATATCGATTGCTTTTCTCTCTTCTTCAGGATTTTTTGTAAGTAATTAATAGCATTGCAATTGTAGAAATCCCCAAGCCTCAACCTGGTTTGGATGCCATTCTAAGACCGTTGTTCTGACATCCTCCCACTTCTTCAAAGGATCTTTAATAACAGATATCGGCATTAATCCTCTTTTTCAGAAGAAAACATATCTCGCCGAGTTTCTTGGTGTTCTTCATTCAAGAGTTCTTGGCGTTCTTCTGTCGTCAGATCCGTTTCAGGTTCCATTATGAACTCTTCGATGTTCTTTATTTCTCAGATGTGATTTTTGTTACTCCTTTAGCTGCTTGAGTCTTCTTGATTATACAGTATTTTTCTTAAATAAGATTGAACTGCTGCCTACTGTAGACCTGTTCATGCCATACTGCCCAGCAACATTATGCATCTTCTTCCCACTCTCTACATTTGCTATTATACTCTCACCTTTCGAAAATAAAAACCGACACAAAACATAATGAGTGACCACCTAACAGTCTCTTGAATACTATAAAAAAATTGTTTCTGTCAGAAAAATAAAAGGCTGGAATTACAAGGGAGAGTTTCAAAGTTTGGAGGAATACTATCTGATCGGTATATACCGGCTTGAGCGTCGATGTCGACGTCTCCCACACTCCGAAAAGTTTCGAATTGTTGCCCAAAGACAAGGGAAGACCAATCAGTATTCATTATTTTACATCACTTCCTCTTGTGTTTGTTCTGTGGGGTGTTCGTTATTCGATCTGTTCGTTAACCGATCACCCACTGTATTATAATATATAATATAATAATAATAAATTTTTGTCATTTAATTTAACTTAAGCATATTTAAACATGAATTCTTGAATGCCATTTATATCACACGAACATCAATTAATGTGGTTTTTATTAATCAGTTGGATTTTAATTCAACTGTGGCACATACCAAAAAAATGGAAATAATAATTTACTGCATGCACATTGAAATGTAATTTAAATAGCAATGTCATCAATGATTCATTACATGACATGAGGCAATCTCGGTGCCACTAATCTTTGAATCAGTAGTCCTGTTGTTGATTGATCAGATCGTCAACTTTCTTTAACACAGGAAGTATAAGGAGTTGACTGTCTGTGGATGGCTCTTATCAAGTAGCTTGTTTGGAAACCGAGTTATTGTATGACAACTGGAGCAAATATGGCATTCAAAATTTTGTTTGTAACCCAAGGTTTGGCTATATTCTAAAATCTACGGGCAAATTTGAGACAACACATGTGCTTAACTATCTTCATGGGAAGCATCATAAGATAAATCCTTTCTCAGTGACATATAAGAATAACAGTTTGCCTCGTTCATGTTGATGGAAAAAATTATTGCACAGCACTCCTTCTAGTAATTGACTATATAGTGAGGCATTGTGTAGGGGCTTCATGTTTCAACTGTAAAAGGATAAACAAGCTCAATAATTATTGAGCTTGTTTATCCTTTCACAGTTGTCACATTTGTTAGGCCCTTGATGAATGAAAACCCAGTCATCAACTGCCATAAATCATTGTATGACTTGCTGGTTTGGTTAACTCTGGGTGAACAGTCTGTGATTAAAATTTTTTTTTATTAATGTAAACAAAGGTCTAATAAAAAATATCTTTTAAAATGTTATTTTCATATATGAAATTTGCTTTTTGTGTTACTACACATCATAATAAAAAATATCAAAGTCCAAAATAGCTTTAAATGATTATCATTGCCCTATATTAATTCAGACTTTTTACATGCTTAATTTTTTTTAAATTAAAAGAGTGTTCTTTTGAATGATTATCTGATTTGTTTGTTGTAGCGAGATAAACTACAACAATAGAAGCATATTCAAATAATTATTCAAAGCTTTTAAATTTCAATAGATGATAATTTTTTGTTAATATACTTTGTTATAAACTAAAGTGTTTTTTAAAAAGGAACATAAATTTAAAAGCTGAAAATGTCATGAAATACATGAATGTCTATTGCAGTGCTTAACAGTGCTGTTAAATGCTGCAATAGATATGCACATTTATATTCTTTCAGTATCATTAAGAGTGTGTTTTACTGAATTTAAAGTGTGATGTAACAATTACTGTTTGACTATTTTAATTAACCAATCTTACGTAATTGTATTGTAGAAAAATATACGAAAATTCAAATTTTCTTTCCTATTCAACTTACGGAGAATAAGCAACTTCCAAATTCTAAAACATTGCATTAATAATGAAATAAAATTAAAGTTAAAAAGGTAAAAGACAAACCAACTTTGCTGAGAGAAACACTTTAATTACTTTGGTACATCCCCTAAATGCATTTTTCCAGTAAATTCGGCCTCTTCATTAGGATTATTTCTTACACAGTTCAAATTCTGACAATTATTCAACAGATCCAATCCATGATGGATAATTATATGATGTACCAAAGTAATTAAAGTATTTCTCTCTGCAATGTTGGTTTGTCTTTTACCTTTTTAACTTTAATTTTATTTCATTATTAACGTAATGTTTTAGAATTTGGAAGTTCCTTATCCTCCGTAAGTTGGAAAGGAAAGAAAATTCAAATTTTCGTGTATTTTTCTGCAAGTACATAAGATTGGAAAATTAATCCTACTCCATCATTTTAAGTAATTTTTTAAAATATTTTAATTAATTTAAAGCCAAACAACCACCATTATTTACAATTATATTTAATTAATTAGAATGCAATTTGAAAAAATTGTAGACGTATAAATTCTCACTGTCATCTGTCCATATGTCTTTCCTTAATCTCTAGAATAGAGTTAGATGAAATCTAAGACCACATATGGAAACCTCGGGCGAAAGGCTTTGATTAACTATATACAAACTTCTAATAATTCAAAATTTTCCCTGAAAGTAGTTAATAGATCACTAGCAAAACTCTATTGTTATAGGAAAAGTATGATTTACAGAAAAGGGCAAGCTATTACTAATTTGAGGTGGGGAGCATATATTTTAAATTAAATTAATAAAAAAATATGATTAAAAATTGCAGCCTGGCATTGTGACCATAAATAAATAATTACTTTATTTAGTAATTAAATATTATTTAAATATTTTCAAAATATGAATTGATTTAGAATAAATTTAATTGACTTCTTTTCAGAGAAACAATTGCTAGAGTAACTGGTGGTATGAAAGTAAAAGCAGACAGAGATGAAGCATCTCCATATGCTGCTATGCTTGCTGCCCAGGATGTTGCTGAAAAATGTAAACAAGTGGGAATAAATGCTCTACATATTAAATTGCGTGCTGTTGGTGGGACCAGGTAATTATAAAAGTTCTCTAACATATAATCTATATTTAATATTATATACATAAAGTGGTATTTAATTCAAGCAGATTCTAGATAGAAATATATATGTAACTTATGTATGGATGAGGTCTAAGCTGGGGGAAAAATTTCTGTAGCATTTTAGCTAATTTTACTTAAAAAAGTTGTAGCAAAATTTTAGAAACTGTAGCTAACGTTTCTCATCCATGAGGCTGCCTAGAGCAATGCACAATATGTTATTGTTTAAACATTTCTTTATTCTCATAGATATTGTACATTATTACAGTGTACTGCATTAACAATATAACCATAAATCTATTGTTACAACCCACAAGTATCATACATTATTGAACAATTCTTCTTGGTTTTGATTCACACAGGGCAACAAATGCTGAATAAAAATCAAATTCCCATCTTAGGGGCCATTTATGGAGAAGTTGCTGATTAAGACTATTTCCAATTGGAGTGTGAAAGAATAAATTCAATAACTGTTGATATATGAGGGTAATCTGAGAGAAGGTCATTTACAACTATCATTTTATTAATTTTAACCAGTGACATAACCTTACATCTGACGGCAACAAATCTTTTAAACAAGTCCCGCTCTATCAAAAATTGTGTTTTTAAAATTACAATATTAACAATTAAGTATTTATTTATTAGAAACTTTTGTGTCTACAAAGCAGAGAATACTTGATATTTCATACACAAGTTGATGTCTGTCAAGGTGGACTTTTCTTTTGTGTAGTCTGAGCGATGAGAGATTGCACTTGGTCAGTACTGTCCCATTTTAGAAGAGATGTGTCTGTATTGGGTTGGCTTGACTGGCAATTTCAAATTTAGGCTGGTGGTCATCAAAAATATTTAAATGCTGGCAAAACAGTTTAAAATATAAACAAAATTATATTTGAATTGAAAAAATATTATATAAAATTGTTTCTAATACAGTAAAACCCTATTTAATGTGGGGGATGCATTAAACAAAGTCATTTTAACAGAGTAAATGGGATAGAGGAACACGCGACCAAAAATAAATAAATTTTACTTTTAAGTTATTTTTATACTGATTTGCACACTAATATATGTTAAATAACACATAAACATATGCACACAGAAATGTAAAGTTCATTTTTTGTGGTGAAGAACCTGACTTTTCTGAAATTCTTGTTTTTTTGCAATAAAGTTGTGAAGTTTCATTTGTCTTTTTTTCTTTCCTTAAGCAAATGTCAGTAGCAGAAGATTGCATCCAAAACACTCGCTTTGCTTTAGCATTCCTTTCAAAATCTTGATCGTTCACTACAATTTGATCAACGATTTCGGTTATTGTTACCAAACTTTTACTAAGGAAATCTGTAGAGAAATTTTTTGGGTTCTTTGTTTTCAGAATCTATTTTCCAGTTCTACATGAATTCCTTGTTCTGCCAGTTCTTGAAGGTCTCATTGGTAAAGCTCTCATGCTATAACTCCTCAGTATCCTGCTTGTCTACATCTTAGTCCTGCTGTATCAGTGATAGGCTCTTCTCGTTGAGAATTTTTGGATATCTTCAGCCATAACTTCTTCCACACTGTTCATTCATCATACATCAGTTATACCCTATTCACACTGTATATTTTAAGCGGGATTAAGATTTAAGCAGAATTAAGTTAAGCCGCATTGCCGAAAACAAGTTTAACTACTTGTTCACACTNTGAACGTTTTTTCTCACCCTCGAATGTTTTTCCATCTGCTTCCGCCATTATTTTTGAACTTGTGGCGGACCACGTGGAAAGCTTGAAGCGACTTAAGCTTCTTTGAGAAAGAGATTTAAGCTGAGCCAGTTGTTGGTAGTTAAACCGGTTTAACGTTAAGTCAGTTCCGTTCATATTTCATTCCTTAAGCTGGCTTAAAATATACAGTGTGAATAGGGTATTAGTTCTTACCAAGTGAAGCCGATATTGCCTATGGCATCCATGATATATTTTTTTCGAAAATTGCACCAAACAAACATAGATTTAAAGAAAGTACATCTTTTTCTGATTGGTTCGTGTTTGGTTCATAATCATATTATATATGAATCAATGAAATGCCACAATAATTTGAATCAGCATAAATTTTGAGCTTTTTTTAGGCTTCGAGCAGACCACATTATATCAAATCAGCATTAAGTGGGGTCTTACTGTATTAACTATTTACTTATAATTATAAAATGCTTGAACAACACTTTAAATACTATTTTTGGCAACGTTTTAATTTGTTTAAACACACATCTTCAACCCTTTTTACAGATTTGAGTCAGGTTTAAGAAGATTCCCACTGTTTAAGAAGACAGTTCAAATCTTTTTGTTAAATCTGACACAGACCTGTGAAAAGGAATTGAAAACATTCTTTTATAGAAATTAAAAGTGTTGCTGAAAAAGTATATAAGGTGTTGTTCAAGCTGAATTAGTTTCAGCCTATACAGAAGTATTTTGTAATGATAAAACAATTTTAATCACAAAAGACACAGTCTGTCCAAAAATTATTTTTTGAAACCATCATTTATTTTGATTGTATGTTCCAGAACACCATCGACAACCCGACCTTTCTTTGTAGGCTACTAGGTCATCAGGCTAAAACATTCTTTTAAAAAACACATAAAAATATCCAATTAAAACGTTTAAAAGTAAAGAATTGGAACTGGCGGCCTTACAGACGTCTTGAACTTGCATCCTTTCCAGTTAGGAAATTTCAATCCATTATATTCACTTGATAAATGCGCTGTTAAATGTAAATTTTGGCCTTATCCCTCTGGTGATGAATTACTTCTAAAAAAGTTTTGTTTGTAGAATTTTGTTGGATGATAATTTATTTTAATCACAAAAGACACAGTCTGTCCAAAAGACGTCTGTAAGGCCGCCAGTTCCAATTCTTTACTTTTAATGTTTTAATTGGATATTTTTGTGTGTTTTTTAAAAGAATGTTTTAGCCTGATGACCTAGTAGCCTACAAAGAAAGGTCGGGTTGTCGATGGTGTTCTGGAACACATAATCAGAATAAATGGTGGTTTCAAAAAATAATTTTTGGACAGACTGTGTCTTTTGTGATTAAAATAAATTATCATCCGACGAAATTCTACAAACTTTTCCATTATAACTATTAAAGTTTTTGATTTACAAATGATGCTGTAATATGTTAAATTTTCAAATGCAGTTTGTGCAATTCTAAGTAAAAATAATCATTTGTGCTAAATTTACTGCCATTTTGAGTTTTAAAAATTGATTTTTCAAGAGGAGTCAGTCTAGGCATTCATTTGATTTTTCTGTTCCTTGAATAAGTACATGCAGTTGTACATTTAGGAAAACCTGGCTTGAGTGAATGAATTTAAAACTTGGTTATCTTGTGATGATGATGATCTTCATTTGGCTCATTGCATCATTTGCCAAACCTTGTTTAGTGTTAAATACGATGGAATTACAGCATTTACAAGGCATGCTGATTGTGAGAAGCTTATTACACAATAAAAGCAGGTGTATCTATATGTAAATGGAGAATACAGTAGAACCTCGATTATCCGACTCAATTGGGGACTAGGGTTGGTTGGATAATTGAAAAGTCGGATAACCGAAAAGTATGAAAAAATCCATTATTAGTGTAGTATATTATTATATCCCATGTAATTAGTATATCGCTATTAACTACTTTGCATTGAATTTTCATCGATGTTAAGCCTAACAAAAATGTTTTTAAAATAATAATCGTCGCTATTGTATCGTTAAAAATTATAAAATTAAGCCTCGTTTAAATACTGGCTCCCTTTCATGGTCGAATGAGTGTTGCCAGCTAAAACACGTAAAAATAATATTAAAGTAGCCAAGACAGCCAAATATTGTAGTGCCACATCACTAGCGGACATTTGAAATTTGCCGACTGGGACGGTCGGTTAACTGAGGTGACGGTTAATTGGGGGTTGGATAATCGATGCTCTACTGTATTCAGGTTTCTTTTGAAAGATCAATTCTGAATTTCCCAATCAGTTTCCATCCATAGCTTGATGATTATTAATTAATGAATGCACTTTGCTCTTAATGTAACTTGTTAATTTTTCTAAACTAAAATAAACTTAAGAGAGTATTTAAAAAATCTGAATCGGGAGAAATTTTGGTATCATCCCATCACTAGTTAAAACATTTTTAAAATGTCAGTTTTTAAGATGTTTTAACTAGTGATGGGACAATAAATCACTTGGAAAATGTTAGTTTTTTAATGAAATATGCCAAGAAAGTAGCTGCTAAATCTAAATTCTTGTAGCATTTTAGCAAAAACTAATGACAGCATAAACCTTGTATGGGGGTGATCAAAAGGTTGTGGGCATCAAAACATTAGTTTCTGTAATCTTTTTTTTCCTGCCCTGTGGGCACTAAGAGTGTCTTAGCAAGCCCATTATGGGTTTGGCTAGGCCCACAATGGTAGGCAGCCAGGTGGTGAGGGATGGACTCAACATATTTGGGTGGACCACCTCCCAGAGAATTCCTGAGGATTTATTGACCCATCTGGATTCGAACCCGTGTCCTCTAGAGCAGTAGGCTGCTAACTTGACCACTCAGCCATCCAGCTGTCAAGTTATTTTTATTGTGTGTCTCATCACAAGATGACACTATAGTGACTCTGACTTTTGTGTGAAAATCATAAAATTGGTTGCAGTATAACTTTGTTCACTGAAGAAGTGAAATGTTTATCCCCAGGAATAGTGTATTTTTTGTCATTGACTTTTATTTTACAAATTACTCTTGTGCGCATGTTATAGACAAATTTTGTCAGATATATCCAGATTCTGCAGTTATTGCGAGAATTCTTCCTAACTGTCTCATTTTTTAAAGATTGTGGCCCACAATTTTCAGATTTGTCACCCTATATTTTTCCTCTGGTTATCTCAAAGGACCGTGTATAAACTAGAAGAACTAAAGAGGAACAATATGATGGCTCACAAGTCGATATGAAACATGCTAAAAGAGTTTGTCCCTGCATTTATGATTGAGGATGCCATTTCTAATATGGTTGTAACAATATGATTTGATTTTGTTTGTTTTAAAGATCAGATTATATAATTTGTTTTTGTCTTCTGTGTTTTTGAAGCCGTCATGCTTATAAATGCGCTCAAAACTTCTTCTTCCAAGAACGTCAGTCTATGAGGCATTAAATATACTTGAAATTATTTTAATTTACGAGCGCTTTCGACGTAAATAAGCACGTCGTCTTCAGGTAAAATTAAATTCGAATAAAGAATTCGAACCATACATTTAAATTTAAAACATTAACGATACTAGCCGTTTTTGAACATACAAAAAAGATTTTAAATTTAAATTTTTAGAATTAAACATTTAAAATTGGTGCGCATGCGTTTTAAAACAAATAAACATCGATTGGAGTGGCTATTAATTATTTTGTGAACGCGAAAAATTGGCGCACGTGCACCTTAACATGCATAACATGAGAGCCAATTAGATGTCTATTAAGAACAATTAAATTTTTAGAATTTAAATTAAAACACTTTGTAAATACGTATAAAATTTTTGGCACGCATGCGCCTTAACATAGACAGCATAGAAACCGATCGGAATAGATCCACAAGTGCAAGTTTATGTTAAAATTTAAATTTTAAATATTAAAGCGCGGGACATAATTTAAAATACATAACACACGTAAAAAGACGCACATAAAGAGGCCGACACGTATGTGCTTTGAATCATGTAGGAGGTGCGGGAAGAGAATGCAAAATTATTGTTGGTTTTTTTTTAATGCGCTGCTACTTAACTCTGGATACCCATTATCACATGTGTTACATTTGTGAGAGGCTCTCTTTCTCATCACAAAACAATTAGTTTCAATTTAATGGCAAAATATATAAACAAACCCAGGGAGTACCAATGGGTTCCCCATCACCCATTTTGGCAGAGCTCATCATGAGGAATATAGAGTATCATATTTCCAATGCCCCTTTGGCTCTCCACTATCCAATCATGTACTTACGATATGTAGATGACATATTACTTGCATGGGATGGCTCCATAGATGAATTAGATTATTTTATTCTAAATAATCATTATTATTTAGAATAAATGCAGAAGTGCTTCATTTTCTTTCTTAAAAACATTGTGCTAATAGAAAGTGTCTTCTGATCTTAAATGTCATTACCCCATTACATGGCCATTTCCAAGGCAGTTCTGGAGACATGCAACATTTGTTACATTAAATGTGTCAAAGCAGAATGAACTCAAAAATTAAAGCTAGTAATACATATATTGTCCCTGTATTCACTTATTCTATTGGAATTATACAATGGATGTGCACAGATCTTAAGCAACACCAAAGGAAAACAAGAACTAAGCATAAACAATGTCATCCAAAATCATCCATAGAAAGACTAACTATTCCTTGAAAAGAAAGTGGCCGTGGCCTCACTAATATAGTTAACCTTCACTACAAAGAAATTCTGACACTGTGAGAGTTTTTCCACAACAAAGAAACATCAAGATTACATAAAGCTATAAATGTGTTAGACAGTGACCACACACCTTTAAATTTACTTGTACTGTACAGTACATTCTGTGTCTGGACATAGCTCAACACAAATAACATACACCACTAAGCAGTCATGGGCCCAAAAGGCTCTTTATAGTAGGCATGCCTAAGACCTAGCTCATGACTATGTTGATGAAACTGTGTCAAACTACTGGCTGACTAGGGGCTGCCTGTTTGGAGAGACTGATGGGTTTATGGTTGCTATTCAAGATCAGGTCATTAATTAACACTAAAATCTACAGAAGATAGATCTATTTGTGAGTGATGTATCTTGAAGGATACATCACTCACAAATGACTCTTGCAGAAAATGGCACGTTCAGCCAGAAACAATACAACATATAACTTTTGGTTGCAAGCTCTTGACACAGACTATTTACATAGGCATAATCAAGTCAATATAATACTCCAAGAACTTGCACACAAACATATTATTAAACACCCAGGTACCATACTACAAATATATTCCACAGGCAGTATTAGAAAATGACACACAAAATATTTTACCAGAGCCACAATCACAGATAAACAATGCATCACTATAGACCTGATGTCACTCTCATTGACAAATGCAGTAAGATTGCTTATATAATAAACATCTCTGTTCCAAACACTCATAACATAAAAAATGCTGGTACACCAGTTGAGATATATGGACAGTATAAAGAAATGGCTGTTTTATTAAGTTAAAATACATTTCAATAGAAATAAACTTTAATAATAATGTATACTCATTTTTATTTTTTAAACCACAATTTAGCGTAATAATCAACACTTGGCACAACATTCGTTTATTTCAGTTTTTGATGATTCGTGTTTATACACATGTTTTGGGCTTTGTTTCGTCCCTCCTCAGTCAACTAAAAACATATAAAACCAATTTTTATACACATCATAACCTGACATATGAACTTAAAACCCGCGAATTATACAAATAGCACATGACATATCTTTTAAAATCACAGATCCCATCTTTTGGCATATTTCCACAAGCGGGGATCATACACTATATATTGGACTGTTTCAATTACCAGGCTGAAAATTTAATTCCACTTGGTACATACAAGACCTAGACCAGTTTTTCTCAACCTCTAACGAATCGTCGCCCCCTTCAATAAAACCATTACTTATTATCACCCCCTTCACTTCAAAATTCTGATGCCGATGACCAAGACTAACGCCAAATTCGTACTGCATTGAATAGATTAGTGACTAGTATAATGTTATTTGTTTAATTATTGTATGATATAATGAATAAAATATCTAATTATTCTTAATATAATGTTTTACTATATCGCCCAGAAAATTGTTTTTTGCTCCCAAAATATACCCAAAATATAAATTGTTACTAATCGCTCCCTCAACATGGAAAAACGCCCACATGGGGGCAATAATGTCCCCATTGAGAAACACTGACCTAGACTTTCACAATTAGAGTTTGCTGGGCTTCAAAGACTTCTCAAGCTTTCATTAAGTCTTATAAAAAGTAATACAGTCAATATACTTAACATCTAGATATCCAACTATATACTAAACTTATCTTTACATACTTATTCACGGAAGGTTTCTTGACATATCGAAAAAACCCATAACAGGCATGCAGCACAGTTCTTCTTTAATATCAACACTAATTCGTATACAATTTATATTATTAAACTTTCCTTTTTATCAATATTAGTAATAATTCTTACCCAAACAGGTCAACTAACTTCACTTTTCTTGAATTGTATATGTTCAGCTCACAGAATTTAGTGGGTGTTTTTTTTTCGTATGGTGATTTGTAATGTGTTCTTATTCAAAAATTGCAAAGTAAGATTCTTAACTGCTTCCCCCCAGATTTCTTCCAAAAATTTTTTCCTTCCAAAAAATTTATTCACAGAATGTCTTTGGAAACACTGAGAAAACCATATGATTGACCATATAATAATGTATACATGATGTCAAACATTGCAACAAAAAAGATACAGAGCAGATTAGGAATTTAACAAGTTTTAATTTTATTGGTTTTGTTCAATTTTTAATTATTTTGTGTTTAATAAAATCTACTTGACTTCTATTACTCATGTTTTTCTATTATGTCAATAAGACGACAGTATCACTCGTCAGATTACAATTATGACTGATGTCCCGTTAACAGAAAAGTACCAAAATGCTCACACTGAAAAATTTCGACAAGTACACTTCACTTGCTCAAGAAATAAGACAGATATGGAGGATGGACAAGGTATTTATTGTAATGTATCCATTGTCCTCTCTTCTACTGGTGTTATATTTATACCACATACATTACAAAAATCTGTGATGTTAACATATATATCAATAACACAGAAGCTTAATGTAACACTAGTTTGGGTAACTATGAAGTTTGGTTGTTATATTAAAAAGAATACAGTTATTTGTAAATTAAGAAAATTTTAATGTACAATAAATGATTCTCAATAAATGTGGATATGTTGCTTTTATTTTCCCGGCTGTTATGTACTGTACACATGACAAGAGAAAGTATTGGAACTTTGTCAAATTTGATTCTCAGAGTGTTTTGTAGATCTCCATGTTTTGAGACCTCCTGAACACAAAAAGTCCAAAAGAAAAAAATTGGCAAAAAAATTGTATGTTGGTATCTATTTCATTTAATATCTAAGGAAGGAGTAAAGATTAAGAAGCAAAATTTGACGGGGTAGCTTGCATATAAGTGGAATTCATGCTAATAAATTTTGGTAGTTAAAGATCAAGAGGTGGAGGTGGAGGAGGGTCAGGTATCATGTCAAGATTGATTGGACTTAATGAAGATTTTACTTGTTATTAGCATTTACCATTCTTTTTTGTAAAACTTATGTCTACCCTCAAAATTAAGCCTTTTGCCATTTTATAATAATTAATAATAGAAAAAGGTTTTTATAACTAAATCTCACAACAGATGTCACTCCCACTCAATTTTATTTACTTATTATGATTAATAATATGAAAGTTATTTTTTAAATAAAATCTCATAACAGCCAGGAAAGTTATACAACTAGTTGCTGAATTTCTTGTTTTCTACAAATTTACTTTACAGAACAAAAACTCCAGGACCAGGTGCACAGTCTGCTCTGCGAGCTCTGGCTCGTTCTGGCATGAAGATTGGACGTATTGGTGAGTAGCTCTTTATGTCTCTGCAGATTGATATAAATAATTGTATTCTGAATAAATTATTAAACTTTGAAAAAATGATTACATAATCTCAATAAATACTATTGGAATATATATATATATATATATATTCCAATAGTATTTATTGAGATTATGTAATCATTTTTTCAAAGTTTAATAATTTATTCAGAATACAATTATTTATATCAATATAATATATAATATATATATTATATTGATATAAATAAATATATATATATGGACATGTATAATGGTGGTTGTATGTGGTGGTAGCTCCAAGCCTCCATTCGTGCATAGGGGTAGTTGCGTCTCGATAGCTATAAGGATGCGGGAGATATGAGGCTGAAAGTGGTTGAAAGTGGCTTTCTATTTCGAATGTTTTGTTCGAATTAAATTCGAATATTGGTTCTGTTATAGAACGATTGTAAATGTTCCAGAAACATTGAAAATAGTTCGTTTGACTAAATGTAAAAATTCTGTAATTAGTCTGGAAACGGGGGACCTAATTCTTGCATTCTGTGAAAACAGGTAAGATTAGCTATAATGTAATTATCTTAATCTTCACTATCATTACTTTTTGCCCAGCGAAGAAGGTCCTTGCAGCTAGATTCTAGATTACTTAGAAAAACAGTCTTTTATATATATATAAAAAACTATATTACATACAAATAAAAACCCAGCGAAGCGGGTCCTTGCAGCTAGTATATATATATAATTGTCTGCTTATACAGTAAGGTCTTGTCAAATGTGATCAATATATTCTGAGACTCTTCAAATTAGCAGAAATTAAATCTGAAATTTTAATTTTTTCTTCTAAATTACGTATTTTATGGCTTTTCTTTGGCTTATAAGAACTACTGATATCAATGCTCTTGCTTTTTTCACTCTGGAGCCATGTTAGCAAAGTGATTAGCATAAATTTGTGAGGAATGGAGCCAAAATATTATTTTCCAAGGCTGTTATATTTTGTTTGAATTTTTTTTTTTTTTCTTTGTTCTTGTATTGAGTTTTTGTAAATTCCACATCCTCCATTCAAAATTAATCTCCATTTAAAAATTGATAGCTTCTCCCCATGTTTGTAGTTGCTTATGCGAAAAGGTTCCAGTCCCTATGATTTGGTGAATTAAAAATGGTCATTAAATCATTATGTTACAGGATAATTTAGTCAACTTAATCTTAATAATAATAATAATAATAATTCGTCAAATATTGTACAGGGAAATATTGTAAAAACTAAGTATGTAGATGAGCATGCAATAACATTAGAAATGAGATATCACATTTAGTGCTTAAAAGATTGTAAAATGAGAATTGAAGTGCAATTTCCAGTTGACATTTATTGTGATGAATAGGTAGTTGGTCTAAGAAAAGTTTGTGTTTATGAGGTAAATTTAAGTTAGAAGTTAAGAAACATTTCCTGTGTTTTTGCTTTTGTTGTTCAAAATAATTAGTAATTTTGTTCAGAACTAAGTACATTATTCCTACATTTATTGTTGTACACTTAATGCATTAGTTTTAATTAAACTTTAATAACAAACTTGCTAATGATAAACTAACTATTGTACTCTGTGTGAACTTTAATTTTCATTGTTAATACTGTTTCATTTTATTAATTTTAACTATTTAATTAAATTGTTTGACAACCTTATAAATGAAAACAAGGAGAAGCACTATCACAGAGAGACATGGTCAAAGCGAGAACTTTGGACAAATACTGATTTGTTTAGGGCAAAACAAAAGGATCCTACTATAAGTAATAATAACGGTTAAATTAATTAATTATGCTAGTTATTACACTTTTGAACTTTTTGAAGCAATAAATTTTTAATCAAGAAGCAAACAACAATAAATTAATGAAGTTTTGAACATATTTCATATATGTACTCTATCAACAGTGAAAGTTATTCTTCACAAAATTTGTGATATTAAATACTTAACTTATAATTACTTAAACAAATTTTTATGGAATAATTTTAAATGCAGATAAAGTATAATCTTTGTGGAAATGACTTATTTAATTATAAAATGTATTAAAGAAAATAATGCTTCCAATGTATGCTGTGATAGGAAAGATTAATAAGGGTTCCTAATTGTTTTTGTTTCTTAATTCTTTTAATGTTAGATTTAATTTTCTGGCCCTTTTCCTTTCTGATACAAAAATATTATCTATAGTAAAATAAATTTATTTATTGATCCCAAATGATCTCTAGTAATTATCAATTCCTAGATATGCCAGCATCCTGGTTGGGAATATCTGTTCCATATTATGTTCTAAATATCTTGTTTTTTGTGAAGATTGTTTCTGGTCAAACAACATACAGTGAAATCTTTTGTTATAATAAACTTGAGGGAAAACTCCCAAAAATGTTTTTTGTAATGAAAGATATATGTAAATTATCATCATTAGCAAAATAAGAAGTCCATATATGAAACAAAGCTTGTTAATTAACCATTTATTGAAGAGTTATACATAAAGAACAGAAATAAATTACAACTTTAAAAAATCAAAATGGGTTTAAGTGTTAGAAGAATAGAAGTCAGATTTTTCTCTGAATTGTTCCTGTATTGAAGAATTATTTGTAGAAACTTCTCTACCTAATGTTTTTCTTAACATCTTTGTTCCTTAATTTCTTCTATAAGTTTATAATATTCTCTGCCTTCTCGAATTAACTGCATATACTTTTGACTTTTAAAAAAGTCTTGCACTTATACTTCCAAAGAATGCTTTTGGATGTAGCTAAGAGGTAACACATTTTAAACTGTATGTATAAAAAAATTTATTTACAGGAGTCACTCTGAAAAAGTTTTAAAAACAGCAACCATTTTGTCAGTTTTAAATTTATTTCACCACTTCAAATTATTTATCACCATCAGTTTTACTTACTAATTAATGCAGGTTCTTATCACTTTAGTGTCTGAAAGACAAATATGTTAAGCTGTCACTTAGAAATTAGGAACCATTTTTGAATAATTTTTTAAGGACTAATTCCAAATAACACATTTGATCACAATGCTTAAACAGTATATCACAGATTCTGTCATATCAAAACTTTCTGTTTCAGCATGCTTTATGATTTAGTTTCATGCTGAACATGAAAATAAGCGGACTGCAGTGGTGTGCCGTGACATTTGATGATGGAAGCTGTGTTTCTATAAGAAGCAGACATCCAGGGGCAATCAGTCAGTTGCACGTCAGTGATGGTCTAGAGTCTATTCGTATCATTTATTCGATAAGCCAGTAAAAATCGTAGACTTCTCCAAATGCATTTTTAATATCACAATTACATTCCAAATTTCTAGCCATGATATAAGGCTACAATTAAAAATAAAATAATAAAAACTTAGTGAAATAAAATGTGTGGTGGATGTACCAGTACTGTACATACCTGGTACAAAATATTCTTCAATTGTATGAATATACTTTTAAAGAAAATTAACTCTAGACATTATATATTATTTATATACTAGAATTTTAAACATAGTTTACTTTCAGTATCCCATTTCACACTATTTATGTAAATCAGGAATTGCGTATACAACTTTATATCTTCATTCTTCCCTCTTGTCCACCCTGCTTCTCGTCCCTTCACAGTCCTTTCCTATAATCTTTGCTCTCCATGGTTGTCTGTCCAACAGCTTCTTACACTCTTTTAATCTAAGTTACTAAATAAAACCAAATTTAGGCTTTCCCCAGTCCTATCTCTTGGGCCCAGCTTGGCATGTGAAGTTTTACTGGGTTTCCTTCACATTTTTACTCCCAATTGGGACCAGGCTCCCCTCCAAAGTCTTTCCAGTAGGCACCTTATAGTCTTGCAGTTGTGAGCTGCAAGACTATCCCAGTCAAAACAAATTTTATAAATATTCCAATTTGTTCGATCAGACCATCTGTGATTTTACCACTGCTACTTTCTCTTCCTCAGTGGCTTTGGTCAAGTCAGAACCTAGGTTAAGCTTTGTTAGGTACTACCAATTTATACAACTGTCCTCTCAAATTATAAAAATTCCATCACTTAAGGCTCCATCCAGCATTTTTTCTGGTGCATCCTCCAGGCTCACCTCTGGGGTGGTTCCCACGGGAAGTCTGCTGCTATGATGGTCCTTCAGTTTATTGCTTGCATTGTCTGCCTCCCCAACCCATGCAAAAACAATATTCAACACTCTGTTCTTCATTCCAATTAGCCATTTTGGGGTGTCCTTTCTAACCACATCATTGCTTAATTTCCAACCCCTTTTGCTTGATGCCGTCATACTAGGAAGCCCAACTGCTGTCCCTTCTACAGGCTTGGACGATCCTCACTAAGCTGTACTAATTAACACTAACATACACACTTAATTTACTTTTGTTCAAAATTTTATTTAAGTTCAAGTACAGACTACAAAAATTATGTAATTGTATGAGCCCATAAGGGACAAGTTTGAACATTATGAGCCCTCTCAGGGACATTGATATTTATCTTACATGTTCTGGCCCCTTAGTGCTCTTTGAGCAAGAAGGGCCCTAGTAATTCCAGCCCAAAACTAATTGTGGAATAAAAAAAAAAACAAAGCACAATAGCATGCCAGCTCATTCCCAGACATGTCTGTCTGGGAATGAGCTGGCATGCTATTGTACTAGCTAAGTGATTCACAGAATAGTTTGGTAATTGTTGGATGGGACAAGGCCCAATTCTATGGCCATGTTTCCCAGACCTGTATGGGTCACTGACAATCTTTCCTCTGTTAAAACTGCTAAGAAGAAACATTGTTCTCTTCATCTTTAAACCATTAAGCACAATGCACATTAGAGATACAAATTGTGAGGTCTGTAGAAAAGCTTTTCTAAGAATATTTCCAAGTTTTTCTCATACAAGGGAAAACAAATTGGGGCATTAGATATAAAATTAGATATTAAATTGGGGCATTGGATATAAGTTTATGAAACTAAGGGGACAGTGGCTTGAAAAAGTTTGGGAATTATTGGTCTACATCTTTGTATTTTCACTGAAGGCTGTCGTTTTGAACATGTTTTATAACAAAATAAAGCTCACTTTTTGTATCTCTCTTCGTGAAGTTGGTATTTAAACAATTTTCTTCGGAAGATATTCAGACATTTTCAATTGTCTTAAATGAAATTTTTACTGCATTAAATGGCTGTAGAATTGGTATTTGTACAAGTGCAATTCCTATAGGAGTAACAAGTTTCTTTGTTTATTTTAGCACCAGAATAAACATGCATCTATGCAATACTGGGAAGATCTCTCTAGACAGATATTTAAGTGGATATCCTGTACATGCTTCTTATCTTAGATGAACAGGGTCGAAAACACTGCTACAGATAAAATTTAATCTTAAATTAACACATCCTACCATTAATGTCGATCCCAGAATAAATAATTGCAGAGCTAATTTGTTAATTCATGAGGATTGAAACAGGTATTTTAGACAAGTGCTGTTATACCTAATCCACACTGATAAGTGTTCTCTGTACTTGCTGATAATGCAACTATTGATATTATACATATAGTCTTACTACATTAGAAAGGCATAGATTGTGGCAAAGATACCTATCTTTGGCACGATCTACCTCACTGCATTTTCTCTATCTAAGTTGAAATGAATAATCTTTTGATTTTAATTATATACATTTTTCAGATTTACAGGCCACCGATGGCAGTCTACAGAAAGTGACATTTGGAAATGAGAGAAACGAAGCAAGATATTTACGTTTCATTATAGAAACTGGTCACGATCACTTTTGTGCAGTGTACAAAGTTCAAGTGGATGGTTCACTAATGTAATACTAAATTATGTTCACACTGTTATATTTTTTAATAATTTAAAACTGATATTTATAGAATATTTATTAACAGCATCAAATGATTTATTGCTCACTTATTTAGAACCTGCAATAAATATTTTTACAACACAACGTATTCAATTAAATGCTCGAGAAACATTTTAAATACAAATTTAATATTTTGATTCATTGAGCCTACAGATTGGATTATTATAGACCATTTGTAGATTCACTTTATGGCCCACGAGATCTCTGATGTTGTCAATTCCATATTTAATCATCGTTGGCCTGGAACATAATGGAACATTTATTTCCCAGAAGAAATAAACTTGGAAATTAAAATAATTTGAATTACCTTTCTAAAGAAAGTCCCCAGGCGATGACCGTCACCTGTTTTGGAAGACCCATTGGCAGAAGCATTTCGGGTCTAAAGATACCAGAATTCCCTATTTCCACCCATTTTTTCAGGCCTTCATGATAACTGAACACTTCCATGCTGGGTTCAGTGTATGGATTATAAGCGGGCTTGAAGCGAAGTTTTTCTATTCCTGCAACAAAATTTTCCTATATTTAATTTGAAAAAATTTTGCATAAATTTAGTGCAAGTTTATCCATGTACCTAATTTACTGAAGAACTGATGTAGCGTTCCTATCAGATCACCCAGTGTTAAGTTGTAGTCGGCCACAACTCCCTCTATCTGGTGAAATTCGGCCAGGTGGGTGGCATCCAAGGTCTCGTTTCGATACACCCTGTCAATACTGAAATATTTTGTTGGCGTAAACTTCTCCTGTAAGACAAGTATGTTTAATTTTTACATACAAGCACAAGAACTGGCAGTTTTCAATTTATATAATCAAAATATACAAACTGATCATTACCTGTTGTGCTAATTTATATAACATCCTAGCACTGACTGCCGTTGTATGTGTTCTCAGAACATTCTTTTGAGCTTCTTCAAGTTTCCAATCATAACGATAACTAAACACAAAAACATATGATGCTCATATAATGAGGTATGAAGTTGTACAAAATGTATTTTAAACAGAATCAGGACTAGCTAACTGTTATCAAAGACTACTATTATAATAGTGTACACAAGCAGTTGAAAAGTTCCTAGAATTGTGTTACAAATGATAGAACATATGGAAACACTTTCCTAATCATCTTCAAAGTTTGACACACACCCCATCGATTCTGCCATGATTGGAAAGCTTATTTTGGAATATTCAGGAGTTCAGCCATCACATTCCATTCAATACTATCCATGGTTGTGAAATATAACTCCTGAAGACCTATTTTCAGTGTAGGGGACAGCCAAAAGACATTCAGAGTGATATCAGGTATGGTAGATGGGGTGATGGGAAACCTTTTGTTGGCAAGGAATTGTTGCACAGTAAGTGACAAATGACCCTGTGTTGTCATGCTGCAGAAATCACATTCTCTGCCACTTGTCAAACCATTTCCTCCAAACCATGCAAAATATGCACATAGAAAAGACCAGTAACACTGTTGAGATGATACAATCTCACAATTTGTATCACACGGTTTTTCTCATCATGGACTTGTAAAGTTATGAATAATTTTATGTGGACCAGGTAATTACATGCACTATGAATTATACTTTGTTTATTAAGCTTAAACATGCCGATCTAGAGTTACCACACGGTAACTCTAGATTACCATNTATGAATATACTTTTAAAGAAAATTATAATTAAATATAGCTTTGCAAAGAAACGTACATAAAAATATAAAATATTCTTTACTTTTTAAATCTTAAAACAATGCACTTAGTCAAATAGCTCCCTACGAGTGGCTAATGGATGGAATCGAAGATGGTTGCAGAGCATGCATACACGCGGACTGCCAAATTTCCAGGGTGCCAATACCGGTCAATGTCAAATACCTCTTTTGTCGCATCACTAGTATATCTCAAAGGACATTACAGGGCTATTGTAGAATTTAAACATTTCTCACTGTAGCTGTGAAAATCTAAATATGTTAAACTTAATAGATTGTCTGTCATTTGTTTTCTAACTAGTTTGTTTTAGGACCAGGTGTCCATGGAAATTTCCAAAATTTATAACTTTTCGGTCACTCTTGTTGAACTGGAAAAATTTCTGTTTATGTTATGTCCAATGTTACGAAGAAATCAGTCCCCACTGTACTTGGCTAGAGATTGGGTTGGTTAAGCTTTTAAGTAAAATTTCGGCTCTTTCATCAGGGTTTTGTTTATGTCCCCAATTCCCTAATTGCTTAATTATTTAACTACTTCTTAAGTAGAAATAAGTCAAAACCAGTTACTTTGTACTCAAGTATTTGTAGTCTCAGGGAAAAAGTGGAAAGACAAATTTTTATGACAAAGGATACATACCGGTAAATCGTAAATATAAGGAAAATAAATTCTATAGCTTTTTCTGTACCTCGTTCATCTCTCTCATTCATTAAATTTAGTTGTAAATGATGCTGTTGAAGTTAATTTTTTAACATTATACAAGTAACATTGTACACATTTTTTTCTACATCACCTTAGAGATGGGATATACGAAATCATAATATCACTGGTCTAACATTGAAATCCGTGAGTAATATAAAATCGGAGAGCAGAATAAAAATATCAAATATTTTAATGCATTTTTTTAAACTCCTGTCAACTATACAGAACTATCATAAAAACATACCAGTAAATTCTTATCGGTTGGGTTAAGTTATAAATCTACTCGTGATTCACATAATCAGGCGAGGGCAGCTAACAGCCCAGAACCGGTCCTGGATAGAATTGGATGCGGTATACGTGTAGCCTTCAACCAAGGTCCTAGGCTTCCACCAGCTAAACCTGGTGAGATTGGTTCTTTGTAAAGCACATGCGCGAATCTGGCTTTTTGGATGCTGACAATACAGTGCTTTCACTCCGTCACTAATATTCGAATATACAATAGCAATCTTATTTTTTTTTCACGTATAGTATAGAAATTTGTAATAAGATACATAATGCGGTTATATTTAATAAAATATTGTGTGATTATTTTCATATAATTGAAATTAATATGTATTTATTTTTTAGAAAATACAAGGGAAGCGGCACATCCACCGCTTCCAATGATGGCATGCCACTGGCGGACTGGGGTTTTTATCATCACTTTAATTAATAAAAATATTAACAAGTGGTGATTTTGTCACTGCAGTGCAACCTTTGCATTTATGTTTCTCTTTCATTGTTTTGAAATATGAAGGCTTATGAGAAGAGAAATGTTTTCTTTTTTTTTTCCATTGTTAAGTATTCTGTCCTTAATTTTCTACTAAATACCTAGCTCTAGAATTAACTTTCATCAACTGTAACAAATATTGGAATTTATCTACATTGTGCAGTCTATAGTCTTCATGTATTTTTTAGAACAGCTCAATCATTTAATTAATTGTCTACTGAACTGAACTTATATAGCATATACAAACTTCATTTTGGAGAGTTTTACTATCTTCAGTTCATGAATGTATGAATTCTGTGGTGTTAGCAGATTCTGGAACTCTTGTACAGTACTTCATTACTTTGATTTAATCCTTTCCATATTTGGCCTCTTTGTGCTCTGCGAGCGGTAAGGGGTCTCAAACCACAAAAAAAAATCCTTTCCATAGCTATCTGTCAATAGATAGATATGGAAAGGATTAAATCATAAAATTGTCAAATATCCTAATATGACCTAAAAAAGCTCTGCAAGAAAAAATGCTACTTGCCTATCTCCTTTTGGACTATAAATTAATTTTCTTGTTATCTACCACATCATCATCACAGGCTTCAGGAGGCAGAAAAAACTGCTAAGGACATTTCCTGCCACATAATTTATTTTATAAATATAATTTTTACATTTTACAATAATGTTGCTTAGATGAACATTGATCATATGAGTGAGTAGTTGTCAACTAAAAGAAGTTCTGATTTTCTTTTACTATGTCCTTGTTCATGTTGGTGAGCATTCAAAGAAAATGTGGGTATAGTAGCATGGCATGCCCGAAACATTTTTAAAGCATCATGGACAATTATACTTTCTAATGACTGAAGATTTTTTTGTTGTTGTTGCAGCATAACAAGCCACAAGAATGTTTGCCACCAACACAAGCTTCTTTTTTAAATGCCATAGTTTTATCAGAGAGTAATTGGTAAAACACCCAAGTCTCGTCTGCATTAAAAATGTTTTCAGGAGAATTTTCAAGAACTATTGTTGTTTTTGTTTCAAGCTACCTCTGTGCAGTTTCTTAATTGACACTTGTTCTTCCATATACACTATTTTGTATCTTCCAGAATCTGAAAATTCATTCACTGCTGGCTGAAAAGTTCTCAGCATTCAGTGCTTCAGTAAATTCCATATGCTTCTATTGTAGCAATGATCCATTAATTGGAACATTTTAGAATCTTACTTCCTTCAATCAAATTAAAACAGTAGCATCACTCTTTTTTAAAATTTCTCATGCTGATTTTGTTATGAGAAAGTTCTTGCCACATCAACTTTTCTTCCTCTTTCAATTCACTTGATAATCTAAACTATTTCTTTTGACCTTCCTTATTGACTAATTGTATCTTAAAATAATGTATTTATATCAAATATTACACAAATCCAAAACTATATCTGCACCATGTAAGAAAATTGTGTGTGTCATCAAATTATTGCATCTGTGTGGAGATACAGGAGATACCCTCCTATGAGCTTGCACTGCATCAGTGTTGCAGTGAAGTTGGTTTAATTGGGTTGCAATTTCAAAAAATTGTAGACTTATAAATTCCACTATCATCTGTTTACCTATCCTTCTTTAATCTCAAGAACGGAGGTAGATACATTAAGATAAGTCAAGACCAGATATAGAAAGCTTAGGGGCAGGATGCCCTGATTAACTATATATAAACTTTTGGTGCAAATTGGAAGTTCATTATTTCAATTCAAAAATTTTTCCCTGAAAGGAGTTGGATAGATCAGTGTTCCGCAACCAGTGTGCCGTCACATGGTGAAAGGTGTGACGTGAACTTTTACATATTCTGTTAATTTCAAATTTTATATATATATTTTTATCACAGTTGTTGTGTTTCTTATGCTTGTATTTCATTTTCTGCCTCAGCACTGATGAAATAAGATGATATTTGTTTATTCTTTATTACAAGCCATGTATTTTTATGTATTCTAAGAAATTATATGTAAAAAGAAATTTGCTCACAGGTGTTGATGTCTGTTTAATAACAATATTAATAGGTTAGTGGCATTACATAATTCTATTAATAGTATCATATACATTTTTTAGGGGAATTACATTTTAGTGTGCCGTGAGTAGAAAAAGGTTGCGGAACACTGGGATAAATGACCAGCATGACTCCGTTGCTAAAGGAAAAGTATGATATACAGGGACAAGACACTACAGTACTAATTTGAGATGGAGAGCATGTATTTTAAATGAATAAATTTAAAATATGATTAAAAATTGCAGCCTTGCATTGTGGTAATGCCACAATAAGTAATTGCTCATATAATTCATTATGTAATAAGTTTTGGAAATTTATTATTATTTTCCCATTTCTCACTGAATTCCACTGTTCTTAATCAGAAATAATTAAAGATGATAATAAAAATACCTTGAATTTAGCAGATCAATAATATTTAATAACACTTTCAACCCACTCAAATCAGTCCTTATCATTTCATAAACACGAGAAAATGGTTGGCTATCTCCTGTAAGCTATTGCTTTACCCATATAACTGGACATTTTCTTGTGTTTACGAAACTTTTCAACCATATTAAATGTTCATCTTCAGGCTAATGGAATTTGAGCATGTATAAAACTGGAACAAATATTCAAAAATTGGAATACAACATACGATTGGCTCTAAATGCTAGGAATCCAAAGATAATACAGATTGCTAATTTAATTTTTAAAAAAATTATATCTGGTAACCAAATAAATAATGTCATTTTTGAAATGTGAATAAAAATGCTTGTATTTTTTTCTTCAAAATAATTTTATTCGTCAAAATATTTACCTTCACATTCAATTACACCTTCTGAACAGGGGAGCAGTTTGAAAATAACATTTATAAAAATGATGAATGACTTCCAAAAAAATCTGTTTATCACAAGCACTTGAATTTTGGTCAAACCTTCACAGCAGATTTGTACAATGAGTGGCTACAAAGAGTACAGTACATAACAAAGTAAGGCTAAAACAGCCATCTTTGTCAAGGTGTTTTTGTTTTTATAAGATAATACTCACTCACACATCGCAGCAATTACAAGAACCAAAATAATGCAATTGGGATGGGAACTTTTCCTTTTTCTATCCTATTCTACTGGCTTATCTCTGTCAGATTACCATATTTTTACTTTTCAGCTGTTATATATAACAGAGAGAAAGTATGACAACTAGGCAAAAATTTACCCCCCCCCCAAATTTTTACATTTTTGGACTCTGGACCTTGAAATGTCAAGAAATGCAAAAAAAAGTGGGGATTTTTCTGTGGGGACATGATTTTGTTCACCCTCTTTAAAGCTTAATAACTCCTGTTCTTTTTGTCAAAAATTGTTGAAATTTTGCAGGGAGGTTTGTTTATTAGGGGGATTTATGCTATTTATTTTGGTGGTTAAAGATTGAGGGGTGGGGAGATGAAAGGGTCATGTGTATGTCCAGTAGGGTTGGAATTAATGACGATTTTAGTCATTATTAGCATTTACAAGATTTTATAAAATCCATTCCTGCCCTCAAAATTAAGCATTTTGCCATTTTTTAATAGTTAAAAGTATAAGTTTTTTAAATAAAACATCATAACAGATGGTATCACCAAATGTTGCTGGGGAAAGTTAAGTAACTCATTGCTGAATTTTTTTTATCTTTGGATAATGGTGTGTGGAAAACAATGTACAAATCATGCAGCTATAAAAGAGGAATCAACTAAATTTTTTATGTTAAAAATGGTATTTTAAAACTGCCTTTCCATTGGAAAAATGTAATTGAATGTGAAGGTGAATATTTTTTTGAATAAAATTATTTTAAACAAAAGAATCCATTTTTTTCCCACATTTCAAAAAACATTAATATTTATTTGTTTGCCCAATATAAGAATAAGTATATAAAAAGTAATAACATAAGCTGATCATCATATATCAGACCACAGTTAGGATATTTTGTAGCATGATTTTAATGCACATGAGATTGTTTAAACATCTTCATGATTGATTGTTCTGCCCTTCAATGATGTTTTATAGATCTTGAGTTTTTCTAAGTGCTTTAGATTGTATTTCATGCTGGTTTTATGATCTTTGTTTCTCTGAGATTTACTTCACTGTTATTGTCTATAGCAGTGATCCACAACCTTTTCTTACGCATGGCATGCCTAGGTCTTCCCAGAATTCTGTGGTACACCACAAGTAAAAATATAAAAAAGAAATATAGGAGTTACAAAGTACAGTACATATCAAAAAATATTTACTGTATATTGATTTACCTTTTTTTCCTTTTACTTGTGCTGATATAAAAATATTTGAAATTGGTATAAAATTGATTTATCATCATTCAATTGTGTTTCTTAGCAACCCAGAAACCACCCTGGACAAAGTGTCATGCAGTCCTTACATGAAAAACACGTTATAGTGGGTTTCAACTATGTGGTTGGTGCGTGTGATGGAGACATCATCTACTTGTCACTACATAAAAATTGAGGTGGCAAATGCAGCATGTTATTCACCAAATTTACATTTGCACAGATTCTGTGAAATACAACTTCAGATGTGTAAAAGTTTGAAGCTTGTTAGAATTCCTGAATTCCTTGTCACAAATGTCAGTGACAATAAATCTGTAATAGACAAATCATTGTCCCTTCTTAATCAACATGTATTCATGTGCCCATTGTAAACTTTATGCTTTTCTTCCTCTTGAAGGCATTATGTCATAGCACACTGGTTTATGGCATAGTAGTGGATTCTCTTTTTTCTTATGTTCATTTCATGTTCCTTTTCTCTCGTGTTCTTTAATCTCACATTAAATGGGTGTGATGTTGCTCCAAGTTAGACTACACTCTCTAATCTGGTATTAAATCTGTGGCTTATGACAGGTACTATAGATTCCCGGATAGTATTTTCTGTCAGGGATCTTTTGCCATTCTTTAGGAGGTTGTATAGTATGGGATTTCATTCACATTGCAAGAGGTGGTGGATGTGGTCAGGAGTTGTACTTTCTCACTTTTACCAGTAGATGCATTTTATGCATTTTAAAAAATTGATTTATATTTCAGTTACCACATTAACATTTTTTTTTGTTCACTGTGTTGTATGGGCTTGTAGAAATTAAATTATATACCAGTAGTATTTTCAATATGGGTCTTTTTTCTCCTGCTGTAAGTCGAGAACTCTAGTTGAGATTGGCTTGCACTGGTCAATTTGCCCCAGCTGTCATGTACGCCCATTGGCTGACATGAAAAATTTTAACTTGCTTTGCAAGGTTGCATATGCTCATGTTTTTTTATTAGCTTTCTTCACTTTGTTACAATTTGCATCCAGTGTAAATCATGCTTGAGTCTAAACTGGTTGGAAGTATGACTGTACTTGACAACTCTGAAGGTTATGCTCTTATCAAGCAGTATGTTGGAATGTTTGGCCTCATACTTTTTGATTAACCCATTGATCATACTTGAAGGGTATCTGTGTTCTGCTACTCACTTGATGTATTCAAATTCCTTGAGACTATCAAATTTGCTGGAGCAGTATGTGATGACTCTCGTAACCATGGCGATGAAGATTGCTATTTTGAAGTTGTGAAGATCTTGAGACTACTATAATAAATATACACATCAATCGAAAACCCAATATCTTAAGCAAATACACCTACAACTGCTGTAAATGATTGGGCTATACTTTGGATATATAATTATAGATTAGAAATGATTTTGGCACTAGAGTGAGGCATTAGGCGCCATCTCTTATTAAAATTAATAATTATAATATTTTATTAAATTAATTTAGATTAAACTGGAAGAAAAGAATCGGCCCGAAGCGAGACTCGAATCCGCAACTCCCACTTACCGAGCGGACGTGTTGGCAGTTTTCTTCCAGTTTAATCTAAATTAATTAATAAAATATTATAATTATTAATTTTAATAAGAGATGGCGCCTAATGCCTCACTCTAGTGCCAAATTCATTTCTAATCTATAATTATATCCAAAGTATAGTCCAATCATTTACAGCAGTTGTAGGTGTATCTGACTACTGTAATAAATAAAGGGATATAGAATGGCTGTCTGTAGATTGGTGGAGATTTTCTCACCCATCATATAAACTGAACAGCACATTAAGGAGCCATCATATAAACTGAACAGCACATTAATAGGTTGTGTGGTATTCTTTCCTTTTTAACTTTTAGGTGTATATTGTTTAGATACCTACTATTTACAGCCAATTATGTGTGTTATGTTTCAGTTTTGTACATGTTTGAATTTCATTAGCCTTTTCTGTGTGTATATGTTTGTATGTTGTTTAACATATATTAATACAAATTAATATAAAAATAATTAAAATTAAAGTAAATTTTTTTTATTTTCGGTCGCGTGTTTCCCTATCCCTATTTACTCCATGTTAAAATTACCTCCTTTAACGCTGTTTCATTTAGCACTTTGTCATCCAGAAACGCATCCCTTGCGTTAAGCGGGGTCTTACTGTATTTATTTAATAAAAAATGCTTTTTAAAAACTTTACGTCATAAGAATTCAATGTGAAGTATGCACTTGCAAAGAGCTCATGATTGCTTCTATGTTTGGATCTGTATTGGAAATCGCAAGCTGTAAGTCAGCCTCTGGATTCAATCGAGATCGATATTTAGTTTTAATGGCGACTAATTTTGAAAAGCCAGTTTCACATAAGTAGGTCTATGCAAACTGAATCAAAATATTGATTGTGTGTTTCTTCAAATTGGCATATTTCAGTGACATGCTGTGGAAGCACCACTTCCCTTGTATTTTCTAAACTATAAATACATATTGCGCAATTATTTTCATATTTTAACATACTTTTTAATATTTTATTATAACTGCATTGTGTTTTATGACAAATTTCTATACGTGCAAAAAACAATGATATTTACACAAGTCTTTATTGTAACCTTTACCTATTATATTAAAATTACAATAAAGGCTTTTTAATATGATTTGTTACCCTGCTGGTTGTGAGGATTTTCTTTTTCCTTTCCATATAACAAGTTCTAGAAGACAAGTTATATTAAACATAAAATAAAGGACTAGAAGCACATATCTTAATAAATAAATTTGTACTTGTCCTGCATGCAGCGGCGGCCTTATCCATTGCGAGGCTCTGGGCGGCAGATCTTTGCGAGGCCCTTGTCCTTTTGTGCAAAGTATATGAATTGAAATAGTAGGCACTTATTAATATTAATATATACTGTACTATAAATTAAATTTATTTTATTGTTATAACTAATAGCCAAGGATAAAATAAAAAGTTTTAAATATCAACTTTTTTCTACTTGGTTGTTGCGCGAGGCCCCGGGCGATTTCCCCGCTCGTCACCCCCTAAGGCCGCCACTGCCTGTATGTATGGGGAGCACATACTGTTATGAATGGTTTTAAAATGGATAATGAATATTAATATAATTGAAGTACTGTACATTTAAAAAAGAATTCCTGTTTTTAAATTTAGAATTTAATGCATTTACAAATCAAATGTATGCAATTTATGACATGTTTTGCTTAATTCTGAAGTATTATTTTATATATATAATATTTCCTTCTTTTTTTTCAGAGGATGTAACACCCATACCATCAGACAGTACTCGCAGAAAAGGTGGACGTCGTGGAAGAAGGTTGTAATCAGACGATGTATATTATTTCCAATTGAAATAAACAGTTGAGAAAAATTGGCTTTCTTTGAAGAACGCGTGCTTTCTTTGCCACATTATAATTACGTAATCTTCAGCTAGTAAAACTGCAAAATTTCGAAAATTTTGCAATTTTACTAGCTGTACCCGGCCACGCGTTGCTATGGCTGAAATGTATCTACAGTAATACCTGGATTTACGTTACCCCCGACTTACGCGAACCCGGAGTTACGCGATTTTCAAATCTCATCGATTCGTCTTTAATTTGAGCTCCACGCAACTCTTGATTACTAACTCCTCTCACACTATTGTTTAGCTTACATGTTCGGACGTGTCGCGCGGAATCGACACATAGCTACAATTTATTTTGTGTTCTTTATTTCTGTGTTTGTTATATCTATGGAGACTCGAGAGATTATATGTGGTGATTTCTTGTAACCGAGAACGAATCAAAGGACGAGATAAGATTAACGAGAACATTTATTAGCTTACATACATCCGACTTGGATTTTACACAAATTGCGAAATTATAACTCGACTTACGCGGTTATCGCTCGGTCCCACTTATCGCGTAAGTTCGGACTATTACTGTATTATAAATGTATAACACTTCCTGCGGGAGGGAATTTCGAAAAATCCCTTCTTAGTGTACATTCTCTAGACGTACCCTATTAAAACGCAAAAAACCGCATCTAAAGTAGTATACTGTAACAGAAGCAGAGTTCTTCAGGTAAGCCTTAATTTTGTCCCTCTTCCCCGCGGGAGGGAATTTCGACATCTATATAATGTACAAGTTCGGACACGTGCACTGCATATCTTGCCGACTGCGCAGCGCGGTTATCTAGTATACCTACGCGTCTTGCCCCTCGCCACCCGCTGATACCAAAAATATAACGATAACTTTTAATTTATATGAATGTTTAACGAAATAATATACAGTCTATGTCCACCCTGAAGGTCCATTCTAAATATTGGTGAAAGAATTTTTAAAATAGGATGAGTGGTTTCGGAGATTACCTCCTACATCTAAAGTTACAAACTTTATAGATTGGTTAAAATTCTATATCGTGTTGCGCGCGCAGATAACCCGAACATGTATAATCAACCTAGTAGAATGGTGATGTCATGAACGAAGAGGAGATCGTTAAAAGTGACTAGAATACGGCCCCAGATACCAGCTTAATTGCAGGCCATGCTGCAAAAAAGCTGGTATCTGGTTTGGTTTTATTCGATTACGACAAACGTCACAAGTGGGCGATCTGCCGAGGGGAAAATGCCTCCGGGGGATTTTTATGGAAAACTAGTTCCTAATTAGATGTTACTAACATGAATAAAACCTGGAAAATCTACGTGGACAGCTCGTTGGTGAGATGCGAACCCACGACCAGTATTCAATGGTTTTATCCACTCATCCACTGGTGGGCATGAAACTGGTATATAGATCAGTCTGCTCTGCTCATGTCTTTATGAACGAACTCGGGATCGTAACATGAGGTGGTGGTGGTTTTTTGGGGGGCCATCAGACCTAAAGAATCATTACTTACGTTAGCGACCTCACTGTGGTTGGCATAAAACAATCGTAAAAATTTGGAATTTTCGTTGACATTAACTAAACATTATACGGGTTATTATTCAAATATGATAGCTAAACTTTATGTAAAATATTACCTTTGTTAAAGTGACAAAACAGCTTTTTATCGGATTTTGAACATCTAATACGTATTGTATGTCTGAAAGCTTCACCTTAGGCACATTCAGTAGTGTAACTACCGTCTGTGTAATCGCATAGATGAACATAGAAATAAAGGCACTTGTCCTCACAACTGAAATATCTAAAATACAGTAATAGTATTATCATATAAAATAATTACTCCCTGATTGATCAATGATAAAAGTGGAACGCCAGAAAATGAGAACTGCGTTAGTGTACAGCTCAAAGTGCTTAGAAAACACTGGTTATTGTAGTGAAAGGCAGTTACATACCGCACCATTTCGAACTATAGCAGCCTCCATATGATAAGAATAAAAAATGGGGATAAGAACTTTGCACGAATTTGAAGTTTTTGTTTATTTCATTGCTGTTCTTAAAATATAAAAATTATATTATTTTTAATGATTTAAGAGGAAATGCTTCTCGCCATAAGTGGTTTGAAAAGTGAAATTAAAATGTTAATTTTTCAACATTTACTGTTGAAAACTATAAAAACGTTCTTTTCGAATGTAACATTCACATTTTTTTATAAGCAGGCTCAAAAATATTTTGATGCCAGATATTCAGGCGGTTAAGGCATAAGTATTACCACTCTTGAACCCGGGATCGAAACAGAGTGGCCGAAAACCCCAAGAACTTTTCATGGGTTGATACTGGAACTGATCTCGCTACCCGGTCGAATCAAGTTAAAATAAAATACAAAATGGCGATCCGCTTCTACAAACAGGCAAAACAGGCACCTCACCCAACCAAAGTCAGGTAGGAGAGAGTACCACCCACAGTCATTCTAAGAAGTGAACTCTGACCTTAGGATTGAACAGGTAGTTTCTTCTATGTTAAATAAAATTTGTAATTAAATTTGTAAAACGGTGTCGTTACAAGTAGGTTTTTTAACATTATCTAGTATAGTAAAATCGTGCGACCGATAAAAATTTAACGTTATATTAGGGTTGTCGTTAGATCCGATGACGTTATAATCGGGTTAAACTGTATGTTTGCGCAAAATAAATATAATTTCGGACGATACAATAGCCACGATTATTTTTTTCAAAAACGGGGAATTTTCGTTACGCATGGACAAAAATTCAACCCGGGCTGACACGCAACGGAGAGAAATTTCGAAATTGGATAGGTTAATTTAATAGAAAATGCATCGTGGACGACCTTGTAGTCGTGGTCGGCGGAATTTGAACGATCGCGCCCAAAAGCAGCGATACAAAAGAAGATTGGAGAATGAGAACGAGACCCGCCTTGAGCGTCAAAGTGATTCTGCTTAGTAGTGAGTCTCAGAGACATAGTCTTGTCCCAAATACAGTTTTGCCGTTTTACTTGTTATTAAGATGATACCATCTACGAAAAAAAGCAACGAAAAGTTAAGAATACGGTATTACAACAGCGCAGGAAAAATACTCCTAAAATTAATATCAAAAAATCATCCTTGCAAATGCTTATATAAGATGATTGAAATAAATCCTTTAATCAATATTTCTCATAAATAGAAGCTATACATCAAACTCGCAGTTGGCTCACTAATTAACAAGGCTGTGGAGTCGGAGTCGTAGTCATCAAAAATCTCCCCGAGACTGACTCCTTTTTACTTTCCCAACTTGTTATGTATATAAAAAAACGAAAAAATATTTGAATCGTGTCACATTTGACCCACCGAGTTTTTTGCAAATCTATACGTTTGGAGATCCCTCGAACCCAAAAAATATCAAATAAAGGGAAAAATTCGGTATGTTGGCGTCTAATTTGTTTAATTTCTTTATTCTGTTCTAAAATATTAAACAATATTTCAGAATGAGTAAAGTTTAAGAAACAAAATTTGGCACAGTAGCATAAAGTATTTAAAGGGCATTAATGCTATTAAATGTTGGTTCTTAATTAAAAGTCGACAGGGTAGAGACATAGAAAAAGTCGTGTGTCATATCTTCAGTGTGGTCGGACTTAATGAATATTTTATTCGTTATTAGCATTTACAATCTTATAAAATAATCGAGATGGGTTAATAATAATAATAATAAGCTCAGAGTTCAAACAGTTAGGAATTGAAATTTGGTACACAGGATACGTCATAAGAATGTAGTACACTAACAAGGGATTTTTCGAAATTCCTCTCGCGAGAGGAGAGGGAGAGAGTTGAGGATTACCCTGAAGAACTCCGTTTCTACTATACTATTTTAGATACGGTGTTTTGCGCTTTTGAGAAAAATCGAACATACTTTTAGACGCATCTAAAAATTCTCTAATTAATCTCGGAAGATGGGGAACCTAATTCTTGCACCCAGTGAAAATGGGTAAGATCGGCTATAATCTAATAATCTTAATCCTCGTTATCGTTACTTTTTGCCAGAGCAACATCTGGCTTATCTGCTAGTTTTTATTTATTTATTTATTTTCTTTTATAAAACTTGTCTCTACCCTCAAAATTAAGCTTGAGTTCTAATATGAGTACAGACAGAAAAGGAAATCTTACAAAATATAAAGATGATATTTACTATGTACTGGAAAAATAAATCACATTGACCACTCTTCACGTTTGGATGTTAAATCGGCAAAACTACACTATCCAGACATTATCCAAAGTACAGCATTGATTGTCACAGCATTGCCACCAACCAAGTTTCAGTAGAGCGTTTATTTTCCGCTCTTAAAATTATTAAATATGATTTTAAGAGCTTTAGTGAATGCTGACTTAATAGAAATGATTTTTTTTGTAAGGAGTAATTCAGTTTATAACAGAGATGAAAAATAATAAATTAATCAACATGTCAAAATAAGCAACCTTTTTCTTTACCAGTCTAAATGCTATATTTCTTATTCTTGACTTAGTTTAATGTATTTGTACTGTACACTTATACCCAATAAACTCGTGTATTATATACATTTTCATTAAACTAATTTGTTTGTGTACGGATGTATTTACTATTTTTATTCATACATGCTTACCAAATACCATTGCCATCATCAAACAATTTATATATTCAGTAGATGTGTCAATTTTAATGTTTAAATTAATTAGATTTTAAAATCGTTTTATTTTATATTTTTAAAAAGTAATCAGAATCATTGTCATTATTACTTTCCCGNCATCCAGACATTATCCAAAATACAGCATTGCCACCAACCAAGTTTTAGTAGAGCGTTTATTTTCCGCTCTTAAAATTATTAAAATATGATTTAAGAGCTTTAGTGAATGCTGACTTAATAGAAGTGATTTTTTTGTAAGGAGTAATTCAGTTTATAACAGAGATGAAAAGTAATAAATTAATCAACATGGCAAAATAAGCAACCTTTTTCTTTACCAGTCTAAATGTTATATTTCTTATTCTTGACTTAGTTTAATGTATTTTTACTATACACTTATACCCAATAAACTCGTGTATTATATACATTTTCATTAAACTAATTTGTTTGTGTACGAATGTATTTACTATTTTTATTCATACCAAATTTTTATTCATAATGCTTACCAAATACCATTGCCATCATCAAACAATTTATATATTCAGTAGATGTGTCAAATTTTAATGTTTAAATTAATTAGATTTTAAAGTCGTTTTATTTTATACTTTTTAAAAAGTAATCAGAATCATTGTCATTATTACTTTCCCGCCAGTTACACAGTATAGGCCTATAACAAAGGAAAACAATGACGACCAGTTAAAAAAAAGGACTTTCCCACATTTTTACTCTTTTGGACTCGGGAAGCCTTGAAACGGAGAGAAGTGCAAAAGCATTCGGTGTTTTTTTTCTGTACGCATGGATGTTAGAATGTGTGCCAACCGATTTAGTTCAACTATTTTGAAGCTTAATAACTCCTGTATATATAACTTCTCTTAATAATCCATCCGACTCCGGTTCAAAATCGTGCCTCCCATATAGTCTAATATTCGTACATACAGAAAAAAAACCTGAATCTTTTGCATATCTGGACGTTTCGAGATGTCCTGAGTCCAAAAATGCAAAAATTTTGGGTGGAATCATTTTTTGGCCGATCGCTACACTTTTTCTCTGTTATATATAACAGCCGGAAAAGTAAAAATTATCGCATACATATTTATATATTGACTATGTCATTACTTAGAGGAGTATTTTAGCTTTAGAATAAAAAAACGTAGAATAAATTCTACGTTCTATCTTTATTAGAACTATATTTATTGAAGCTTATATTCTGAGGTTACGTGATGACGTCAGAATTTTCGGACCTACTTTGTTAACAAGTCCGCCCCTGGTCGGAGTCGGAGTCGTGTAAAAATCTACCGACTCACACAGTCCTGCTAATTAACTACTTAAAAATATCTTTCATTAATTCAAAAATGGAAATAGTCTGTATAGGAAAAGACAAATATGAGTAAATAAGTACAGTACACTATGTGTAAATAAACAGATTACAATTAAAATAACTTGTGTTACAAGTTGTTACTTAAAAAATGATTAAACTACTGTTTTAAAATACATTGAACATTAATATATTTTAACATCTACTCTACACTTTAATGAGTTTTGAACTTTTTATTCTTTAGTGAGTCATTGATAGAAATGTTGGTGTAACAATTACAGTAATTAACAGACATTATATGCAATAATACCCTCCTAACAAAACAATTTAAACAAGAAACGATCTGAAAATTTCCTTTCGGCTTCCTTCAATATAAAAGTGAAATTTTTGTTGAAAAAAAAATGGACAGTGGGGATGACAGAACGTCGGTAGGCTTAATTTATTTAATTCCAATTTTGAAATTGTTTATATCAGTGATTTTCATATTAGAATTTGCGAGTTTTTTACTAATGATCTATGAATTTATATATAAGTTTTTGCTATTATTTTCTTTTCGAAGGATGATTTAATTCAAGAAATAGATGGGGAACAACGATGTTTAGAATACAAAAACAATTGCACGGGATTCAAACAACATGCATGGAGGTGTGCTATGATTACGTAATTATACAGATTATATCATGATTAATTAATTAATAACTTCTTTCACAGAATTGTTTGCGATAATTGTAAATGTGAACGCGAATGTCACGATATCCATCACAATGACTTTGTCAACGTCCGAGATAGAACAGGCCTGCAGAATCAACTACAATCGAACGAATCGTCGTTTAAACGAAATTCCACGGAAGAGAGATACGCCTGGATACCACCAAATTTATCTAGAGATAAAGTAAAAACTTATTAGCTATTATAATGAAATATGGTTTTATATCAGCTTGTGAATTTTTAGATCCAAGAATACTTCGTTCAGATCCCTTCTCAAAAAGTGCCTCTGCTCGGAACTCCCGGAGAAAAACATCGGGAGAAACAACTCATTATTCAATTACCCAAGCAAGATTTTTCTCCGCGTTATTGCAAATTTTTAGAAAAGGAATATCTACAGCACTATGCAGATTTCGTAAACGAACGACAGAGGACTGCATACGATATTGCCTATGTCAAAAACATTTCGGAGCAGACATCCGTGAGGATAAACATATTTACTTACATAATTTTTACTTTTCTACTATAGAAATTATTGATATTAATTAATAATATTTTAAGGAATGTTATCAATGCAGAGGAAATATGATCCCTGGAAATATAGCAGTTGTTGTTCCTAGATTAGGTGAGAGATATCCATTCCATCCGGCTTGTTTCGTTTGCTCTATTTGTAAAGAGTTGCTGGTGGATTTGAATTGCTGCATAAAGAATGAAAAGATATATTGCGAACGTCATTATGCTGAACAGATCCGATCCCGATGTGCAGCCTGCGACGAGGTTATCCGTCTTTCTAAGATTTATCATCAATCCATAATATCAAAATAATTTTATGCCATTAAATTTCAGTTAATCTTTACCGAAGAATACATTAGAGCCATGTCTAAAGATTGGCACACAACTCACTTCTGCTGCTGGAAATGTAACGATCTTCTGAGAGGACAACAATACTTATTGCGTGATGAGCATCCATATTGCGTTCTTTGCTACGAGATATTGTTCTCCAACACTTGTAACGAGTGTGGACGCTCCATAAGTGTAGACTCGATGGTACATTCGTCTCAGAACTTATCTTCACCCGAAAATTTATTACTAAGTCCACATTTTTCTTTCAGGATCTTTTCTACAAGAATAAACATTGGCACGATTCATGCTTTCTATGCAGCAAGTGCCGTGATTCACTGATATACAAACCTTTCGGTTTCAAAACTGATAAAGTTTATTGCGCAAGTTGTTACGATGCCGCTTTCGCTACTAAATGCGATGTATGTGGAGAAATATTTCGTACAGGTATAAAATATTGCTAATTTAGATCCATTAACAGTTTGCTATTATTAACATAATTTAATCGTTGTTATAGGTACTAAGAAGATAGAATATAACGGCAAACAATGGCACGAAAAATGTTTCTGTTGCATCGTCTGCACAAATTCAATTGGAACCAAAAGCTTCATTCACAAGGATAATGATATTTATTGCATCACATGCTACGAGCAGAAGTTTTTTACTCGTTGCATTAAATGTAACCAAGTAATAACTACGGATGGTGTCACATATGGCAACGAACCGTGGCATCGGGAATGTTTCTGTTGCCCAAATTGCCAAAGGTGTCTAAATGGAGAACTTTTTACTTCCAAATTCGAAAAGCCATACTGTGCCAAATGTTTCGGAGAATTATTTACCAAGATTTGCCACGCTTGCAACATACCTATTACGGGTTGGTTTCTCTAATTCGTGTTAGTAGATTAATAATTAAAATTATTGTAACTGAAGAGTTATCTTCTAGGCATTGGAGGAACACGCTTTGTATCTTTTGAAGATCGAAGTTGGCACACCGATTGTTTTCTGTGCGACATGTGTAAGAAATCGCTAGTTGGAATAGGATTCATCAGCGATGGATCCGACATCTTATGTCCAGAATGCACCAGAAAAAAGTTGTCCCTATGAATTAATTGGGTTAATTATACGACAAACAATTTAACAAAAGTTATACAAAAATAAAAAAAAAAAATCAGCTGAATGATATTTGGAAGAAATATTAGAAACGTAATGTTCTAAATTTGATTTACTTTGGTTTAACAAATTTATTTCATCTACTTTGGCTAACTGATAACAATTTTTTAATGTCCTTGCATAACAAATAAATTTTACTATAAATAAATTGTTTTTGTTTTGTTTCTTGTTAAAATTTTCAAATTCACTTTTGAGTAGCTACATATACGGTACTACAAAGAATCTTAAAAATTACAATTTACGTATATGAGTTCGGTTACAAATGCCGCGTGCTCACCAGTGAATAAAATGAGTTGAGTGGATAAAGCTCCTGGACATTGATCGTGGTTTCACACCTGGCATTGTGGAGTTTTCTGGATTATTTTTACATACATCTCTAATATCTAAATAGAAAATCCTCCCGGGATGCATTATTCTTGGCAGATTGCCCACGTATTGCATTGCCGCATTCCATCAAAACTAAACTAAAATAAATCTTTTCCTCGTGGGCATTAAGAGGTCCTTTCTACTGTTACACATCAGGGCCTTATGAGTTTACGGGGCCACCGGATAGCGAAGGAAGAAGCCCAACATATGCAGGACTAATCGCCCATAAAATTTTCCTACGATATTTCGACCGCCTGGATCGATCTAGGGTCCTCCAGAGCGGTTAGTTTTCGCTTTAATCGCTTCGGCCATCCGGCCGGCGAGTCTGTACGGTACATTTATAATGTGTTCTTTTACAGTTTATGATTACTTCTAGGATTATTTAGCTTTAATTGGGTCATTTATATTTTTTATGCAAACTATCAAAAACATAAACAAATGTTTGCATGGTTTTTGATGCTACCAGTATTTGTTAATCTTAAGGATTTGGCGGATGGCCGAGGCGGTTAAGCATCAGCGTATCGCTCTAGGTATCCAGATCGAATCCGGGAGTTCGAAAATCTCCAAGAATTTTTAATGGACTGTCCAAACATTTCGGGCTTCATTCTACACCACTGATCGGTATGAAAAAGGCCATGTTAGTACCGACAGGGCGGAGAGTGAAAAAAAAATTAAATTTATTTCAAGATTGGGGCATAATTTGAATACAGTACTGGCTATATAGATCACTTGGTTTTGAGGTAATGAGATGTCTTAGTCTCAATTTTGAGCTGTCGTTATTTCGGTAAATGAGGAAAGAAATCCAATATGGTTCGTATGTCTACAAATTCTGCGTTTATTCTTATCACATCTAGCTTTTGCCACTGTTTTCTGTTCTGTAATTGGTTAGTAAGTTTATGACGTCAAGCAGTTATAAGTAGGGTCTTGTCACGTGCATGGTGGGCATGCGAAAATAATTGGTGGTCTGTATTTGAACCATATTAATATTATTCCCATTTGAATTTTGTGTATAAATGATCTTATTTACAATGTATAAAATATTTATTTTGATAATCACTGAAAAAGAGTTTAGGACGAATAAAACAAATTTGTTATGTCCTTCAAATTTGATGTTCACGCGAGGTCAAGGATCACTCAGAAGACAATTTTAATTCACAGATCATTTATTTATACACATTTCTAATCGGAGCTTTTTCCGATCTATCCACGGTAAAGGTAAAATCTATGACAAAGTTTACACTGTTTTTTCCTGTTTTCCCTCAGTATCTCAATCAACATAACAGAGGATCTTTCTTAGCAAGTCCTTTATGGGTTTGGCCAGGTCCACAATGGGGACCTGGACGAACCCATAAAGAGCAGTGAGTGACGAGACCTGGAGACGTATCCGGACCACCCCTCGAATAATTTCTGGGTTCCTGACCCGCCCGATGTCGATCCCGGACCCCACAGCGAAAGGCTGCCATCTTAACCTCTCTGGGTCACCCGCGATTGAATGCAAACGGGTCGAAAAACTTCAGGAATTTTTCGGAGATTGTCCTTTCGGATTCGGATATGTCGGATCCCGTTCCTCACCACCGGCCGCTCCAATGTGGGTCGATTCGATTTCTGTCGTAAAATTCCTACAAAAGTAATATAGCTTTTAAAATATGCTCGAAAATTTAATACCTCGATCATTATATTTAATTTTAGTAGAATGTAGAAGCATGGAGCTTCCATTCGCAAGAGAATAAGCAGTGGCGCGTTATCCTATGGGCAAAAAGGGCAGTTGCCTAAGGCCGTCACCAATAGAGACCCTCAAACCAATAAGAAGTATTTCCCACAGAAAATTCTCTCGAAGAAAAATGTCTAAAGTCAACACTGCACATGGAGCCTCATAATTCAAATTGGCCTGAGCCCGATGAAAGTATAAAGCGCTGTTGGGAATAAGTGCCTTGCTTGCTGTTGTTTGTTAAGTTATGGCAACGCAACACTTGGGCGATCTGCCTAGGAGGATGCCTTCCGGAAGGTCTTTTTAAGGGAAACTGGCTCTTATTTAGGCGTTACAGACGTGAAGAAAACCCGGAAAACTCCACGTGGCCAGCCTGTCTGAGCGAGCCACGAGCCCACGACCGAACTTCCAGTGTTCAGGGTACGAAGACCGCTTGGCCACTAGTGGGCTGCCTTACTTGCTTGTTGCTAAAGCAGGAGAAAAGGTATCTTAGGACCTCAGAATGAAAAGAGTTTTAAAAAACCAAATAAAAATAACCATGAAACTGATGAAGCTCCAGATTCAATTTAAACTCAGTTTTTCCTCGGAATCTAGTTAATGTATTATGATGCGGCCGTCTAGTCGCTTTTGAGGTTTATATATATTTTTAATATATATATGCATTTTTTGTTTTACTTATTTTATAAAATGATATATAGAATTAAATTTTAAAAAATTCATTAAATTTAGCTCAAAACGATCAAATAAAATTGGCAATATACAGTTTATTTATATAATTTTTTTAAATTACTTTTCTATATGACCAGAAGATTCCACCATTTAAATTGGATTGTTTTCTTAATTAGCCATGTTTTTATTTATATTTAAAATTTTGTATTAATTAATTATTTATTAAGAATATATAAAATTGTTTTTTCATTTGAATGAATAATTAATTTGAATAGATTCATCCAATTTATTTTCTCTTGACGGCGATGAAAAGAATGGTGAAACCATTCTGTTTGATTAAAAATGCTCATAGTTGAAAATAAACCTTTAAACGTTTAAAATTTTAATAATTTACGATTAATTTCTGCTGCCGAACCGATAAAAATCATAACACGACCCGATCCAACCAAAAATTTGATAAATTGAATTTTCTGAAAAACCGACGTAACCATTTACTATTCTAAAGATCCTTTTCGAAACAAATTAAATAGTAAATTATATTTAATATGTTTCATAAGGTTACTAAAAATCATAAACAATTATTTCGTCTCATCTCCCGAGAAATTCCGAAAAAAAAATAAAATATTATTATGAATAAAAAATGGCAATTTTCGATTTTTCCATAATCCTGTTACCACCTGGCAACAGTGATGTAACGAATTAGCAGTTTGACAATGGGAAGCGGTCAGCGCCATCTAATGTCGGAAGTAAGAATGACAAATTGGAGGAATCGTGGAGTTTTTACATCTTTTGTTGGTTCGGGTAGAAACATGTTCAAGTTATAGGAATTAGTAAAAAAAAAAAAGGAAAGATCAACCATCGCTTGTGTCAAACGCGTGGCAAAGGTATCGATAAAGGAAAAATCTCGCTTGAAATGACCTAAAGTAGAGACGAAGAGAGAAACTAAATGCAGCTGCTGTCTAGAAGAATGGATTGTTTTGTTGATTTGCGCTTGTAAATGCTAAAAGAACGGTTTTCAATTATGATTAATTTCATTTCTAATGGAATCGTTTAGTTAAATTGGTTACGAGAGAATTCGAGTTTGTGTTGGAATAATAATAATTATAATAATAATGTTCGATTGGGAGGAAGGCGATCGTTTTTCCTTCGAAGACAGCGATCGCTTCGAAGAAGATTCACTTTGCTCATGGATAAGTGAACCCGAAAGTCTCTGCAACAATTGGAGAGGTTGGAAAAGACAGAACGGAAACAATAACGTTTCTGGAAGCTATCATGCCGCTTTTATTAAAAACAAAGGTGAGTTTCATCTCTGTTAACGGATATAATTGCTTGCGACCATAACATTACATTCAATAATTGTTCTATTTCTTAATTTAATTATCTATTATCGCATTAATTGTTAATTTCGTTAACGTTTAATGTAACCAATTTCAATTGTGATAAATTTAATTCTTTGAATATAATGTTCTTGTTTTTTTTTTTAAACAGTTTCCATCTGTTTAATAATTTTTTTTGTTTTTCTAATGTATTAAATTATCAATGGTTTGATTGTTTGGTAAGTGCTAAGTGTGTCTCTTTAAAATATATTTTTAGTTGCCATCGAACAATAAAGAGGATGGTGTGTGTTTTTTTCTTATTTTTAATATTGTGAAATTTTAATAAAAACTGTACCCGTAGCAAATCTGTGCATCTCTGCGATGTTTAAATCAAATTTGTAAACTTTCCTTTTGTCGTAGTAATTTGGTAAAATTTAACTGTTGTTAATGGTAAGAGTGCCATTGAACCGAATTGCATTACTTACTTCAAAATACAGAAATTTATTCAAATAAAACTCAGATTTAAAATATTGATGGTAAATTTTACTCTGTGTGTTTAATATAATTGTGTTACAGAGTTTTATTTAAATTAGAATAAAGTATTTGTTTTTTTACTAGCTAAAAAAATCTGAGAATATAATTCTCAATTTTGTAATAGTTTGTTTCATACAAGTGAGATGGCAGAACTCTAGGCAACTGGGTTTTCTAAGTTTTTACACCAAATGAATGCAGAATGTCTATTAAAGCAAAGTTATTTTTATTAGTTTATAGTAAAACATAATTTGCACAGTGGTTTTGTATTTTGTAATGAAATGTTTCAGTATTTGCATATTTATAATTTCATATTTGATACATTTATACTTATGTAAAAACATCAAAGTTTACATTTATAATCAAGATGAAATGACAATTCTTATGGAATAAAAACAATAGTGTCTGTGTAATATGTGGCAATGCATTGTGCAAACTGTAA